TTCCTTGCCACCTGATAGGTCTAAGTACGACTCAATATTAGAGGTGCATGCATCAACCATCTGGCGACCTCCATCAACAGAATTCAGGCTGTTGAGCCATGATTGGTGACTGGCTCGTCCACTCATGAAAATAGAGCTTTGTGTGCAGATATACCACAGCACTATGCGTGGGACTCTGTTTATATTTATCTATATTGAACAGTTGTCACTCTGGGAGTCACTGTGAACATTCAAACATCAAACATTGTCAAAACAGAGTGCCTTATTTTTAGGCCTGTCACAATAACAAATTTTGCTGGACGATAATTGTGCTTCAAATTATTGCCGATAAACGATATTATTGACACCGTTTTTTAAATTATAGAAAATGATAATATATGGCATAATAATGCGAGTACACCATGTCAAAAGTGATAAACTTTAATTTCCGCTGTCTGTCAGCGCGCACCATTTTGCACTGTTTTGTTTATATTTGCTTTGCTTACCAAACCTTTCAGTAAGCCGTACCTGTCGGGACGATGGCTCCGCAGCACCTCCGGCGGTACTTTTTTTGCTCAGTTGGGAAAAATGGAGGGGATGATTGTGCTTGAGGTGCGCATGCATGTTCGTCGTATTCTCCTTCTTTGTCACCACAACTTTGGAACAAATACGACATATCGGCTCGTCTGTATTTGTGGGCTCACCTCTTTCATTTGGTTTAAAGCCGAAATATTCCCACACTTGGGCTGTTGCGTTCGGTTTAGACACCAAAGCTGTCGTGTTCATTCTGTTTGCTTGCTTTTCACTCACGACGCTCACTTGCAGCACTGTATCCAAAAGTCTGTGTCTATGTGCCTGTGCGCGCCTACGTGTACCTGTGTGTGCGCCCCTCCCGTGACAAAGATACTGAATGACTGACAGGAGGGTTCACTAACTCCGTTCATTCCGCTATAGAGCCAACGCCCCCAGGTGCCGAGAACAATGCGCAGAGTGAGACCTCTTCTCTCATCCAGCGTGTTTGGTAGCGAGAAAGGAGGAAAACAAACGCACGTTAATTATCGAGGCTGGCAAAATGACCGACCTCGTTTTTATTTACCGAGCGATAAGGCGATTTATTGATTATCGCAACAGGCCTACTTATTTTAACAATCCAAATACAGTCTCAGTCGTCCAAAGTGAATGAGGATGTGTCCAACCACAATTTGCTCCTTGAGTCGGAAACATGTTTGATTGGTTCCTTTATTATTTAAAGAAGTGTTTTCAGAATAACATGAGTCAAACTACCCACTGAGCATTTTTTGGTCTAAAAGAGGTCTAATAGACGTCTAAATGTAGTCTAGATAACTGGTCTAAAATCAGGCTACCACAGGTCTATAAATGAAAGTTTTCAGACAAATTTAGACCGAGTTTAGACTAGCCAGCTAACAGAGGTCTACCAGTATATTGCTCAATGGCTATCATAATTGTTTTGGTTTAGTACTTGGAGATCAGTTATGCAACTCGCAGTTGCTTTTTGAAATAAATACTTATCGGATAGCGGGTTAAAGTGCAACGTCTAAATTCTGTCTACAGATATACAGAATCTAGACCAGGGATCACTAATGCGTCGATCTTAATAGACCGGCCGATCTTTCAGACATGCCCAGTCGATCCCAGAAAGATCCCCAAAATATACAAGTTATTGGGCTCCTTTTCTATTAATTGTTCCAGTTTGGGAACGCCTCTGTCTCTTAATGAAATTATCAGTCTAGACGCCACGAGTATATTTGTAGGGAAAAATTGAGGGGAAAAAAGTTAAATCTTTTGCACTCGCATAGCGTGATGAGGCCTGGATCTTTAGCTAGCGCCTGAACATCAACCAACATTAACTGTCACAAACAAATAGGAAAGCGAACAAACGACAACTAGCAAACATGGCAGGACCACATGGCAAGTGTGTTTGTATGTTGTGTGGTCAAACACAAGCATTGGCAAAACAAGGGAACCTGGAGTGCCATCACACCAAAACCCATCCGAAATTCCAGGATAGCTACCTGCCAAAAAGCAGACTCCGGGCAAAGAAAGTGGAGGAACTCAAATCGGGGTTTAGAACCCAGCAATGTCTTTTCTCTAAACCTGCTTCTCTAAACAAGGCTGCCACGGAAGTTTAATTTCGTGTGAGTCACCTGTTAGCTAAATGCAAAAAAACCTTTACAGACAGAGAAATTGTGAAGGAAGCAATGGCTATCACAGCAGAGACCATGTTCAGTGATTTTAAGAATAAAGAAGAAATCAAGTCTGCGCTCCAGTGTTCCACTTTGCCCTACAACTGTGACAAGGCGGGTTGAATCTCTGTCCGTGTTGCAGGACTTAATGGACTGTGAATACTTCTCACTCCAGTTTGATGAATCCCAGGATATAATGAACACCGCTTAGCTTGTTATTTTTGTCAGAATGACCTTCCCAGATTTTACAACGAAGGAGGACTTCCTCGCTCTTTTGCATCTAAAGGGGAGAACGAGAGGTGAGGATATCTACAATGAGTTCAAGAAATATGTCAGTGATAACGATATCCCTATCCATAAGCTAGTGGCAATTACGACAGATAGGGCCTCAGCAATGCGCAGTTCGCGCAATGGATTTGTTGGGCTATGCTGCACTGACCCAGATTTTCCCTACTTTGTCAACTATCACTGTGTGATTCACCAACAGGCCTTGGCGGGGAAAGTTTTGCACTTGTCCCACATAATGACATTGGTTGTGAAACTTGTGAAATGGATTCGAGCGAAAGTGCTCCAGCACCGCTTATTCAAAGCGTTATTGGCAGAGCTCGATGCCGCGTACGGTGACCTACTCCTCCATGCTGATGTGCGGTGGTTGAGTCGGGGAAAAGTGCTGCAAAGATTTGTCGACTTGCTGCCGGAGATCAAGACCTTCCTGAGAACATGGAACGAGGAGCTCAAGGAACTGTCAGATGATGCTTGGCTGCTGGACCTGGGCTTTCTGACATACATAACCGCAAAACTGAACACTCTCAACACAGAGCTGCAGGAAAAGGATCAGAACCTGTCGCGCATGCTCAGCGCAGTGAATGGATTCAAGGTAGGATACTGTTCTTTTTACTGTTAAGAAGTAGGCCTACTTGAAAATTATTAATTGTTGTACCGGTAACCGTTATCTAGATTGTAAAATACTCTTCTGTTTGGCGTTTTTATTGCGATGTTTTTACATTCAAATTAATTAAATTCATTGACGGAATGCATCTCTAATAAAACGTTTTATTAATATTAAGACCAAGCTTGGTGTTTGGACAACACAACTGAAGAATGGGAGGCTGGCACACTTTCCCAACCTGGAGAAGATGGTACAAGGCCTGGAAGATGACGAGGTTTTTAAGCCTGAACGGTACTGTGCTCATCTGGATAAACTGTCAACTAGGCCTTCACGATATATCGTTTGAGCATCGTCATCGCGATGTACGTGTGTGCGATAGTCACATCGCAGAGCCTGCGATGTCGGAGGTGACTGAACTGTTAATTTCAAGGGTAGCTGACTGAGATACACTGCATGTGACTCTGCATGTGCTGTGCAGCGATCCACCAATCACCTTCGTTCTTTACTCAGTTGCCAATCAGACTCAGTTCTCAGTTGCCAATCAGACTACTCTGCCAGCTGTCAATCAAAATCAGAGAGGAGGAAACCCACCCCTGCACATGGAGGGAGTCGCTGGCGCTACCGGAGTTGAGCCGAGAAATGCTTGTCTGCTGAGAATTACTTTCGGAACATTCTTCATCACTGTTTAGCCCAACAAATAAGAACTGTATGGGTTTTAAATTGTACATTTCCGTGGACCACTCTACTATAAGCAGTGCGCGTTTTGTGAGGTGCATGCAATTCTCAGAGGACATGAGTTTCTCAGCACAACCCCGTTAACAACAACAATAACGATCGCAAACTGAGCAACACACAGAGAAAACCACAGAAGATGAAGACTTGTTGCCAAAAAGAAAAGGAAAGTCAGTTATCTGGAATTATTTCAGTTACAAGATGGATAATGTCGACCAAAACACGTCTTCTGTGTTCATCTGTTTCCACAATAACGTCCCAGAACAAATAAAGCTAAAAATATCTCTGAGACAGACAGAAGCCATTCTACAAACATTCACAAAAAGAGGTAAGATCAGTGCAGGTTAACTGTCCTCAAGATTTCAGCAGTGCAGCACAACATTAAGTGCTATTCGGGTCATCTGGTGAAAATTCCTGTATTTTTTAATACCGCAATATATATCGCAGGGTTGAAAAAAATCGCAATGCTAGCTTTTTCCAATATCGTGCAGCTTTACTGTCAACCGAGTTCAGTCAGCGTTTCGGTGAGTTAGATGAAATGGGAGAGATTTGCGCTTTTGTGTCAAACCCATTCGCACCTATTGACATAGAGCAGGTTGCAGCCAAAATACAGAAAGTGTTTAACTTGCCAAATGACAGTGAAATTGACATGGAGACAATCGAGATGCAAAATGACATTGAGCTGAGTGCCAGAGCAAGAGACAGTGACTTTTGGGGCCTAGGATGCAGAGAGATGTTTCCTCTCCTCAGTGGATGTGCCCTGAGACTGAGTTCATACTTTGGATCCACCTACCTCTGTGAGATGACATTCTCACAAATGAAAATTATTAAATTAAAAACCAGAAGCCGCCTCAGTGATGATCACCTGAAAGACTGCCTCAGATTGGCTGTCAGTAGCTATGAGCCAAACTTCAAATCACTCACAAACAGCATCCAGTCACAGCCATCACACTGATTCAAGTTTGAATGCCAATGTAGACCTATTGATGCTGCAATAAAAGGACTGTTTAAAAGAGTTCTTTTCTCTGTCTTTTTATTTGTATAAAATGCTTATGGTTGGCTAGATATGTTTTGTTATGAGAATATTCAGAATGTCAATTCACTCAAACATTTTTCAGACCATTTTTATCTTCATTTTTGTGTGTGACAATTACATTATATTTGAAACCTTGAAGTGACATAATCTGTTTTTTTTTTCAATTTATATGCTATATGTCCAGTAGGTGGCTCTGCCTGTGTGTTAATATTAGGCATATGTGTGTGAACATTGTGTTCACACACAAGTAGAGTCACCTACTGGATAAAACATGTAATTGACAACTTGTCAGCCTGTAATTGCATGTTTTGCCCAGTGCAAATGCAATAAAAACCATGTATAATCCATAATGAATTAATGCACACCAACACAAATATGAAATAGGGCACTAAACCAGCAATTTGGCTTTTTTTCTATCAGTGCTTCAATAGGTAGATCTTGGCTCGCACCAAAGTTGAGGTAGGTGATCTTGGGCTTAGAAAGGTTGGTGACCACTGATCTAGACGGCTGAAATTAGGTCTAAAAAATAACTAGACGTCTAATAGCCATCTATTGCTCAGTGGGTAGTTAGCATGTCCTTTTAAGAGTCAGGTACACCAGCAGGCAGGGATGAAGATATTTACATGTCTTTTAAAAAAGCTGGCATACAGTACATTGGACTTCTTCCTCCATAATGCTTTTCAGAGTTTAAAGAACACAAACACAAGTCGTTGGGGTGTTGCAGTTTTGGGCAGGATCTGATGTCGTGTTCTCCTCACTAGATGCCAATAAAGATATTGATTTAAGTAATGGACTGAATGACTTGCTCCATATACTGTACGTGAATGTATTGCACCTACATGCTGTATGTTTACCAGACAGTCACTCATTGTATTTGGTTGCTGTTTGGAGTTGTGAAGGTACTACTCAGTATGACCTGTGATTTTCATTGGCTTCCTCATCTTTGCTGCATTTATAGAGCTCAATCATTTCATCCGTATAAAGTCACGCGTATCATTGCAACAGGGATTTTCTGTTTTAACAGTCTTCAGAGGCATCTTCAAGTTTTCTCCTTTGTTTTCATTGGAGGAAGAAGGAACAGATTATTCTTTTTTATTTCTCTTCACATTACAAACCTTCATGAAGAGGGTAAGAGAGGCAAAATTTAAGCGCTTTGTCAGTTCGCCGAACCCCAACCAATAAGTGGAAAGCGGTGTGGCTTCACTGTGTTCGATGACAGCAGCAAGTGACACACTTAGATCCTGAGGTGTGTGTACACACTGATGTTTTTGAATAACTGTCCACACATGCACACTTAACACAAAGACAGACAGAGAAGGGCAAAGAAAGGATGAAGGTTGAATGTGTTCCTATTTAGTACTGCAGCTCATATCAAGAAAACAACTGGCTTTGTCCTTTGTGCAGCAAAAATGTGTGTGATGCGATGGGGGGGGGGGTCACAGTTAAAGGACTGTGCTCAGCTGCCTTCCTCTACACAATAAGGGATTTAAAGAAGGGGGATGCCATCTATAAAGCAATGTTTAATGCATTTATCCCTGCCAAATGAACAAGTAAATGAAAATAAAAGTAATTAAACTTTCAATGCTTATGCCTCACCTGTACCAGTTTAGTACATATGTCTATTAAAAGATAGACTGAGTTTCCAACAATCCTCATGTTCTGTTCTTCTCTCTGGTGTCCCTTTGTTTAGCTGTGTATTTCTGTATTCTTAGTAAGGAACAAAGACTAAGGGCTCTATTTTCGTGTCCACCGGTGAGGCAGCGGAGGGTGGCGGACCCCATGCAGTGGTATTTTCGTATGGCGGCGGAGCCCAGCGTACAGCCAGTTTGGTATTTTCATGGACTGAGGCGCACCGAGTCCACCAAAATGGGCGTGGTGGCAAGCAGGGGGAGGTGTCGACAGAATCAGCTGGCGCAGTGACATTTTCGTGCTCGACGGTGGCGTATTACGTGCGCTGAAAGCTCGCCGATTCAATCCTGGTCAGCTTTCGGTGCAGGCGGAGCGCAGCTGGTGTAGTGGTATTTTGGTAGACCGGCGGCGTATCAGCATACGTCACTGATGCCTCACCGGCAGGTTTCCACAGTGTCAGGCACATTTCAGTGCAATAAATAATCATCAACAACTAATAATCTGAGTCAGCACGTACATTTAGATCTATATAGATATATTCTGATCTATATCTGATCTGATGAGCGCGTTTGGCATGCAATTGGACACTCCACCTGACCAGATCAACACAGCTGAAACCACATTAAATTAAATTAAATATCTAGGAAATAGACACACATAATGAAGTTAACAAGATATGTAATTCTTCTCGCTCCTTTTCTTTTTTCCTCTTTCTCTTATGTCTCGCGGAGCTCGACCTGGACATGTCTCCGTGTCCTCTCCCTGTCCTGCTGCTGCAGCGGCTGAACAGATGATTTGTTTCAGTGATTAGATGAGTTATATACTTTAAGCCTATATACGGATATTATAACATTCAATTTTGTAAGCCAAATTTATTTTATATGCCAACATCTATGAGAGAAACAGATGGTTCTGATTTTAATGCCATTTTTGGAGTTTATGATGTCATCTGTGCGCACAACCCACCTTTGTCACGTGAGGTTTGAATATGTGCAACTTTATGTGAGTGTCTTTATTTGTGGAAAATGTGGTTTGTCTTACTAGTGGGTCCAAACTTACACACACCAAATCCATCTGTGCTTATATGAGACAGTGTGAAGGACGCCTTCTGCAGTGCTTACAACGACACTTGTTGAGGGGCTGCCTTCTGTCGCCATCATGTGGCATTGCTGTCTTCAGACATCTCTTGATCTCTTTGACTACTTCACGAAAATTGTAATATGCCTCGCCGGTGGCAGATTTAAAGGCGAGGAGAGGAGAGGAGCTGATGTTTTGTCAATACAGGTCTCGGCTGTATTAAACCCACTCCACGCCCTCTCTCCTCCCTCGCTATGACTTACGCCGCTGGGAGGAGCTGAGTTAGGGAGGGGGGATACTTACGTGGGGCTGCGCCGCTCACCAAAATACCAAATTGTGCTTGGGAAGGCCTTGTTGGCACGGCGGACCTGATTTCCGCCGCACCTGCGGCACGTCTCCGGCTTGGCACGAAAATAGAGCCCTATAACACTGCATTTTTTTCAGACTTTCTTTAACTTAGAGTCTGGGGATAACACTTTGTTGTGAATTGAGACTCTGTGTCTTAAGATTGATTGACTGAACCATTAAAACTGTGAGTCCAAAGGAGTTGATCTGATTATTAGATGACACAGACTTGCAGGTCTGTGAATCCGTGGGCTGAACAAGAAAATCCCTCATTTGAACTCTTGAACACACTGCAGTGCCTCCGCTGCCTACTGTCTAGACAGTGTAAATAAAACCTGCTCCAGCCAGAACCTCATGTTGCTAGTTTTTTTTTTTTTTTTTGAGAATACCTTTTTAGACATACAGACCTATAGATGAATAACTACAAGAAGAAAACTAGTTTTACTTGCTTTGTTACAGTTCTCCATGATATGTACTTTTCTGGCAGCTTCTGTCCAAAACTACTGGCCTTCAAAAAGTTGTCTCGGTCAAACTCTAATAGAGACACTGAATGAGGCCTGGAGGGAGGAACAGATGACACACACAGGGAAGAGGCACTAAGTGTCAGACTGAGAGATTCTGCGATGAGAAAAGGGCTAATGGCGAGGCTTCCATTCCAACAGGAAGCAATGCTTTGACAGGAAATGGGAACACAGAAGGTGTCGTGTGAACATTTGGCAAACCAATCCTCACTGTGTTTTCACAGTTTTTTTTTTTTTTTTTGTCGCATCTGTGTTGGACTGCCACTGCAGGAAACATTAGGGACATCAAAGATGGTACAAACGCATGCAAACAAAGTGCATTAAAAAGGATCCCCAATCAAAATTTATGTGAATTGTTATACATTATATGGAAATTTATTTTCTGGCCCAAGATTCAAATTGAGACACAAAAAGAAAAAGGAAAATGAGAAAGTTTGGGGTCTAAATAAGTCTTTCTAGGATGACTGAAGTCATCAGATGGCATCACTTCTCCATATTTATCTATTAAAGAACTTGATCTAAAGGGGGAAAAAAAATCCTTTTCAGAATTTTTGGGAACTTGCTCAAATTAATTGCAACAAGAAATTAGCATGTCTTCCTCTGTAGTTATGATGTTAATGTCTTTGTGCTCCTAAAAATAAAAGTAGGACTGAGATGTTGAAATGAACTGTAATAGTGCTCCAGTGACACACTCTGATGTATTTTGGTCTGAGTGTAGCTCTCATCAGGGAGCAGCAAAATGACCAGATTTACTTGCTTCCAAAAGCAAAAATTCATGAATTCATCTTTTTTTTTTTTTTTTTTCATTTTCTGTCCTTTGCAGCATGGGAAATGAAGAGCTAGCTCCAAAAGCAAAAAGCCAAAAGTGATCAGATCATCAAGGGACTTACTGTTTCACTGACAGCATATCTGCAGCAAAGTCATGATTTTACTCCAGTACAGTACACTTCGTAGCTCTTTTTTCAGATGGAGGCTGTTACAAAAATAAAGTCAGGGTCACAAGTTTAGGACAATACAGCTCCGCCGCGCCGACAAGGCGTTCCCAAGCACAATTTGGTATTTTGGTGAGCGGTGCAGCCCGGCGTAAGTATCCCCCCTCCCTAACTCAGCTCCTCCCAGCAGCGTAAGTCATAGCGAGGGAGGAGAGAGGGCGGAGAGTGGGTTTAACACAGCCGAGACCTGTATTGACCAATCACATAAGCTCCTCTCCTTGCCTTTAAATCCGCCACCGGCGAGGCGTATTACTATTTTCATGAAGCAGTTATGCCACACGATGGCGACAAAGGGCAGCTCCTCAACAAGTGTCACTGTAAGCGCTGCATTGGGTGTCCTCCACACTCTCTCATATGAGCACAGATGGATTTGGTGTGTGTAATGTTGGACCCACTGGTAAGAAAAACACCCTTTTACACAAATAAAGACACTCACATAAAGTTGCTCATATTCAAACCTCACGTGACAAAGGTGGGTTGAGCGCACAGATCACAACATAAACTCCAATAATGGCATTAAAATCGGAACCATCTGTGCGTAAATGACGCATCGCGCTCCGTGGCCTGGCTCTTTCTTTCATAGATCTTGGCACATAAAATAAATTTGGCTCACAAAACTGAATATTATAATATCCGTATGTCGGCTTAAAGTAGATAACGCATCTGAGCGCCGAAACAAATCATCTGTTCAGCCGCTGCTGAAGCAGGACAGAGAGA